TTGGGTAGATGCTCTGGAAGGGGGTGGTGGGACTCTGACCCTTTCCTCTTTCTTCAAACAAAGTGTTTTCTGTCGATGAGGTGGGTGATTCAGATTTATGTGAGCTTCCCATTGAGATGTGCTATAGGTCCAAAGCAACAAGGCCAAACAACCATTTTCTCTTAGTGAGTGGATTATCTCAGCTGTTTGTTATAGTGAGGAAAGGCTGGCAAACATGCAGGGTGTGAGCAAAACCAGACCTGTTCTCATGGAGTTTGTACTCAAGCCAGAGTGGGGGACAGGAGTAACCTCAAAGGTGAGTGTAATTCCACAGCCCGGAGAGCGACTACAAAGGAGAATTATATGATATGTAGAGTGGGTACAGGCAGATTTCCCTGACCCAGAGAGGTTTATGGGTGACTCTGGTGGCAGCTGAATTTGGAAAGGCTAAGTGAAGGCAGAAAGGGACAGGAGCCAGTCCCTAGTTGTGAGGAGATCCCATGGCTGTGGCCTGAGCAGCCAGGGTGTGGATGGCAGCAAGGGAACAGGAAAAGGTGTAGCCTGCAGAGGGCATGGAGGAGCGTCTGGGGTGTGTGAAAAGGAGCTAGAAGAGGTAGATGCTTCCAGAAAAAGAAGATGCCTTGGGGCTGAATGTGTTACAGGTTCATTAAGTCACGATTGTTGTGGAATATTATTTTAAGTAGACAAGGATGTATTATATTTGCTTATGCTGCATTTAATCATGTAAAGATGCGTGGCTGTTTCACCTTGCCTGCCTACGGTACCCGATTGGTCTAATGCAAAGCTGAGCAGCCAATAGCTAGGCAGTAAAGGGATAGGTGGGGCTTGTGGGCAGAGAGAATGAGTAGGAGGAATCTAGGCTCAAGAGAGAAGGGAAGGAGAGAATGAGGGAGAAAGAGAAGATGCCAGGGGCCAGCCAGCTAGACCCCTGAGGCAAAACATAGATCTCCGAAGAGAAGCCGGTGAAGTTGTAAGCGCTAGCAATGACAGGCACATGGTAAGGCTGAGCACTCGTAACTAATAAGTCTCCATGTCAGGATTAGGGGACTGGTTGGTGGCCCCAAAGTAAGCCTGTAACACAGGACCAGAACAAAGGCAGAGCAGACAGGCCCTCATGTGTCCCCTTTCTTCCCCAGGGCACCGCGTGAATAGGATGAAGAATCATCTGTGACCTGTGTTAGTGAGGCGCTTTAACTCAGATGACACGAAAACCACAGAACGGTGCGGTTCTGTGCTTGCTCCTCAGGCGTGGGGGTCTGAGCCAAGCCCTTGGCATCCATGTAAACCCGGGCATGCCAGAGCATGCCTGTAATTCCAGTGCTGTGGAAGACAGGATCCCTGGACCGCGCTGACCAGCCATTCTAGCCAATCACTGAGCTCCAGGTTTAGCGGGAGGCCCTGTCTCAAAGCTATTGTTGAGAACTGTGCAGGGAGGCAGCCTCTGAGTCTAAGCGGGCTGCTTAAAACTCAGATGTGGAAAATGGCCCCTTTGCTGAGGTTAGAAGTAGCATGAGTAGAATTATTAAAAGAGGCCCTGCCCTGATGCTCCCCCCCCCCCAGCCAACATTCTGTTTCTATTAATACCGTGTGAGAGAATTCACTCCCAGTTCCGGGACCGTGCAAAGATCACCGAGCTTGTCCACAGGAGATCAGGTTGACTTCCCTGACTGCTGTTTACTGACTGAGTTAATATGAGCTGGCTACAAACCCTTAGTTTCTTCCTCCGCAAAACGTCTCCACTGGCAGTTGGTGAGCACGGAGAAGTACTACGTGTGTGTATAGAGGACACTTGAACGCTTCCGAGCCATTCACAACTCAGTCAGAAAGAGGCGGTTGCCTCCGGTCAGGTTGGGTGAGATTTTGCAGGGAAGGGTTATTTATTCGGCCCGGGCTTGCGGGTCTTGCTCGGCCTTTTTCCATAGCTTGCCATAGGGCAGCTCACTGGGGTGGTGACGGTCCAGTGCCCAGTCAGCTGCCAGCTGCTTCGGATGTCGTTTCCTAGAGGACCCCAAGCCCGTGCCTTCCTTGTGGGCCAGGCTCATCACATGACTGCTGAACCAATAATTAGTTTTTCCAGTCTGGGAGCAAGTGCCTGTCTGAAGCATGCAGGAGTTGCAGGACGCGCTCTGGATGATCCAGACAGCTCTGCAGCGGCGATTGCTTCATGGGTGTACGCTGCTCCCGGCAAGGGGCTGGGAGTCAGCGAAGTGCATTCTGGGAAGCTGGCCAGACATATGTTTCCCTACTATGGTGCCGGGGCCAACTTTTATAACTGTCTTGAACCCAAAAGCTAGGATGGGGAGATGGTTCAGCTGGTAAAATGCTTCTGTACAAACACGAGGACCAATTCAGAGCTGTAGCATCCATGAAAATGCTGGTGATGTGAGCTCGTAAGCCCAGCACTGGAGAGGCAGAGACAGGAGGATCTCTGGGGCTCACTGGCCGCCAGTCCAGCTAAAGGACGAAGCTCTGGGTTCTGTGAGAGGACCTGTCTGGGAAAATGTGATAGTGACTGACTGGAGAAGACACTGATGTCAGCCTCTGGCCATCACACACACACACACACCTGAAAGTTACGATACCTTAGAAATCCCTTTTAAGACTTGTGCATATACATTGTCATTTTGTTTTTTGAGACAGGGTCTCACTATGTAGAGCCAGCTGGATTCTACCTTGAAGCGATTCACCTGTGTCTGCCTTCCAGGTGCTGGGGCTTAGGGTGCGCGGTCCCATCATGCCTGGGTCAAATTTGTATTGAATCTGAATCAGGGTTTGTAAACGTTGGTTACTTCACTGAGTGTCTAACACTGGAAGTTGATTTTTCCCTGTGCTGTCACAACATGGTAGTCACAGGTGGTCATATAATCCCTTGAAACAGAGTTAGGGTTGTGTCATGGCTATAAACGACTTCTGGAAACAAAGGTATGGTTGCCATGCCTGAAACACACAGTGTAGAACCATTTGTAGTTAAGGTTATACAGGTGGGCCATAGCCCAATCCTTGAGAAACAGGTTTAATCATAAACAGGAACGAACCTAGTTTGTCTTGACTACAATTTGGCTTTTAAGCCTAAGATGGAGGCAGGCTGGTTCTTTAGTCTTCCCTGAGTTATGAGGGCTATTTCTGGTCTCTCCTGCTCAGAGTTCTGAGCCCAGCCCTCCCCCCACCCTTCTACTCTCCCATCTGGTGACTTTCTGTGGGAGGCCCCCCCCCCTCGGGTTTCATCCCTTGGAGCCAGAGCTAAAGCTCATTTTGGTTACCACATTTGGTTTCTCTGGCCACTATATCAGAGTGTCACACACCGGGTGGCATAAACTTTGAAAGTTTTTTTTGGGGGGGGTCACAGTTGGAGAGGGTCGGAAATGAGATCTGCTAGATTTACAGTGGCGGCTGGCAGGGCTGTGCACAGGCTCTGACAGCAACCATCATCAGCTTCTGAGTTGCCAGTATCCTTTGGCTGTCCATTACCTCCCTCCCCGTGGTCACATTCCACAGTCTGTGGTCACATGTAGATCAAGTCCCTCTCTCCTCTTTATACGATCACATACACACATTACACTCATAGCCTAAACTGTCTATCTCAGAATGCTCAATTCGGTCACAGTCCTTACCCCCACGCCAAGTACCCAACACTCAGGCTCCAGGGATGAGGAGAGGCATGCGTTTCTGGGGGCTGCGTCTCAGCAAACAATGGCCCTTCACCATCCATGGACCAAGGAGGAAGAGGTATTCTCACCCGCTGCACCTAGAGAAATCCCCACCTCTGACTGACCAGCAAGAGCCCAGCCGCAGAAGCCTGAACCAGCTGGCTTGGTGCGAACAGTCGAGAAAGAGAGATGAGTGTGGAAGGAATCCGACTCTCTTGAATGAAAACCAGGCTGGTGTCACAAAAGCCAGCGTGCCTCTAGCTGGCGTGTGTGTGTGTGTGTGTGTGTGTGTGTGTGTGTGTGTGTGTGTGAGAGAGAGAGAGAGAGAGAGAGAGAGAGAGAGAGAGAGAGAGAGACCTAGAAGGGGTGAGGCAAGAGTGTGTTGACAGTAGAATGTTCCCACACTCTAAAGAGGGGATCGATGGAAAGCCTTCCTTGGAGAACCTGGAGACTTCACTGCAGGCTGCAGTTTAGACAGGAGGCGCCAGCCCGGGCTCAGCGTGTGGATGTCGTGTTTTTGTCAACTTGTTTCAGAGTAAGATTCCGAGGCCTACAGCCGTCGTTCCACACTTTGTTTAACGGGCCTTGCTTCCTGCAGAATGAAACAACCCCAACCAAGTTCGGGGCTGCCACGTCGGCGAGCCCATTCCAGGTTCTGTTGCCTCGCAGCCCTATCTAGGTTTGCGGAGAGCAGCGCTCCGCTCCCCAGCGTGCATCTTTGTCGCCTCTAGGGGCGCCCCTGTTCCGCTTGTGTCTCAGCCGGGAGTGGACCAATTCCCAGGCAGTTATCCCGCACAGCGGGACCCCAAGGCAGTGTTTAAATGACGGAGAGGGAGGTCAAACGAGTTCTTGGCCGGGCTTACGCGGCTTGCTTAAAGCCTGCTTCCGTTTCAACTGGAATCACGCGCTCCAGCGAAATGACAGCCAGCGGCAGCCCTGTCTAGCACAGTTCAGCACGCTCTGGCTGCGCGAGGGTACTACGAGCCCGCAGACCACTGCCGTGTGCAGAGAAGGGGAAGGGTCCTGGCTTGGCCCCCGAAGTTAAAACCACACAGAGGGGTTAAGGGGTCCAGGGTAGATAAAGTTCACGTCCCGTCTTGGCACCGCCTTGGTTGCAAATCAGTGGATCACTTTCCGGGCCAGGAAGTAGAAGAATTAGACAAGAGAGGGACTTTCTTGTCACTTTTTTTTTTCTGGTCTATTCCACAGAACCCGAGTGGGGTTCCAGAACTCCTGGGTCACCCACCGGGCGTCCCCGCCCGCCTTGTGGGGGCCCTGCCGCGAGCGCGCCGGCAGGGGGCGCCCGAGCGTGTCTAAAAGGCGCGGCGGGCAGCGGGTGGCTTCAGTGGCGGCCGTGCGTGGCCAGGAGCGATCACCGAGGGGCTGCAGCGCTGCGCGCACAGGACACCGGTCGCCCGGCGGCGGGCACCCGACGGCGTTGCCCCTGCGCCCCCCTCACTCCGGCCCGCGCCCTGTCCGGTACCCGCGCATCCCGGGCTCCCGATGGCCCCCGAGGCCGGGGCGTCCCCGCGCCCGCTGCCCTGGGCGGCGCTGCTGCTCCTGGCCGTGCTGCTCCCAGTGGCCTCCTCTGCGGGGCCCCCAGGTACGCACACGCCGGACTCCGCGGTCTTTTTCTCTCCCTGCCCGCTTGCCACTCTGGGGACCACTGCCCAACTCTGACTCTGTGTTGCCTGTGTCCCCGTCGTGTCACGAACTTGTGCATCCTCGTGGGTCGAGTCAGGACGCGCTGGGTGTGGGTACTGGGCGCTCTGTGTGTGGGAGATGGCCTTGGGGACACCTACAGAGAACTGGGGTGCTTTAACCCGCGTCCTACAATCCGAGGACTGGAACTTGTCTGGGTGCTCTGGAGTTCCAGGCAAAGGGAAGGGAAAGTGACTTTGGGCATCGCGCAGTGGTAGGAGGTGGGCGGGGGAACACTTTCTTTGGTCAGACTCTCCCTGGGGGTGTGGGTGGTCGTCCTTCTGTCCTCTTGTTCACCTGTCTCGAGGTAGGGTAAGGTGACTGGGGAGCCCAGAGAGAAGCAGAGGCAGGACTGTGCTCCAGGACCAGAGCATAAGGCTTGGGAACTTTGCATCTGGAAGAAGACATTGAGATAGGAATCCGGACAGCCAGGGAGTCCTGGAGAACTTAACCCTCTGCTAAGCTCAGGCTGCAGCCTGGGTAGACACTTGCTTTCCAAGCACAGGCTTAGGCGGTGCTCAGATTTCTTTCGTGTTTTAACAGAGAGAGAGAGAGAGAGAGAGAGAGAGAGAGAGAGAGAGAGAGAGAGAGAGAGAGAGACTTGTAGTGGGCTTTTATTCCTATGTCCGTGGTGTCTTGGTTTCCACCTCCGCGCATGCATTTCCATAGAAGTATGGCTTTTATTTATGTCATCAATTTGTAGAAACCTAAGAAACAGACATTTTTTTTTCTCTCCCATCAAGGCTGCAAAAAAAAATAATTTTTTTAAAAGTTTCTTTGTTAACTGCATTGCTCTGCCCACCAGGATAAAGGGAAACGGTGCTCTGTGACCTCTTTGGTAGCACTATCATGCATATTACTTGGTGACATTGTATGCCATATACTCTGATGCTGAGTTGTTCCTTTTTCATAAAAGGGTCATAAAGGCAGCATGGGTCTTTTCTCTCCTGTTCATGACCTTAAGGCAAGTATTCATTTCATATTTTATACAATGTCTGACAGAGTAAACCGATTCTAGCCTTCCAACTCCTCCTCCACCCATGGTTTCCCTCTAAGTTTTTTGGGTGTTGAAAGAGTTTTTGTTACAGAAAGCAATGGGAACTATGTGGTGGGTCCAGCCTCCCTCCTTTCCGATTCCGGTCACCTGCAGGATGGGTTCTGCTTGTGAATGTGGGAAGGCAGGGCTGTTGCGATTCTGCAAGGTTCTGCAGTGTTGCTGGCCACTCTTTCTTATGCACTCTGCTCTGCAAATCACTGCACTGTGGAATGTTGGAACTGGAAGGCTTGTTGGCACGTCTCTCTACTGTGTTGACGTGGGGTTTGCAGTAAAATGATGACCAGACTAGAAATGGACAAAGAAGACAAGCACATTTCAGAGTGCCTATTTACCATACTTAAGTTCAATTAGCGAAGGAAAAGAAGTGTGCATAGCGGCCCGGAGATGGCTCCTGTGCTGGGGAGAAATCACGAAGCAGCATGTAATTTATTCCGTGGGCTCCTTGAGGAGCCTTCCTGTCTGTCTTGCCATTCACAGATGCAGCAGCTGCCTGGATTTGTGTCTGATGGGGAAGGCCATGGGCAGACTTAATTCATGCTTCCCGTAAGGGGCTGCTATCAGCCCCATCCCTTCTCTTTTGGGTCCAGCATCTCTGTAAGGCAAATTACCCAGAGCTATGCTGACAGTAGCAGACTATTTACAGCACTACAGGGGGTTTCCTTGCAGCACACACGGAAGGTCCCAGTGGGCCCTGAGAATTAGGATTGATTAAAATGAAATAAAGTAAACAAGCAAGCAAGTGATGCCCCTCCCCCCCACTGTACCCACTACTACAATAGGCTACCATGCAAACACTAAAATAATGGGGGGGGGTTGCTTTCCAGTCTGCAGGACACACATTTTCCTGGAACCATGCATGCATTTACAGAGGACATCCAGGGATGGCCAGGGCTGATTTCTATTTAAAGCTAAAGATCTTTTCACTAAATCCTCGAGGTCAAATGTATTCTCAAAGTAATAGGAGGCCTCTCTTTGCCTCTTTTCTGTGTTGATGTTCACATGGGTGGTACAAAAGCTTGTCGGTGTAATAAATGGTGGCTGATAATAAGGCAAGACAGGGATACTGAAAATACTAGCAGGGCTGAATTTTTCGGGCCTTTGTACAGAGAGAGAGAGAGAGAGAGAGAGAGAGAGAGAGAGAGAGAGGCCAGTTTAAATAAAGAATGTCCTTGTTATCATTTTTTAGTAAAAGTATTAACTCACCCCAAGGAGAAACACCTGTGTGACTCCAATTTAGTAGCTGGGTGCCTGTGGAAACCAGAACAAAAACATTGGATCCCCTGGAACTGGAGCTACCTACCGATGGTTGTAAGCCACCATGTGGGAGCTGAGAACCAAGCCAGAGTCCCTCACAAGAGCAATAATCTCTCTTAGAAGCCGAGCCATCCCTCCAGCTCCATGGCTATTTATTGTACTTTTTTTTTCTCTTCTGGCTTTTCAGTCTTTCAGTCTTATTTTGGGGGGGGCCCTCCATCCAGCTCCTAAATAAATTGCACAGTCTTATTATTACTTATAAATGCCTGGCCTTATGGTTTTTTTCTTTGTTTGTTTTTGTTTTTGTTTTTTGAAAGCTTTCTCTGTATTGCTTTGGAGCCTGTCTTGGAATTAGCTCTGTTGACCAGACTGGCCTTGAACTCACAGAGATCTGCCTGTCTCTGCCTCCTGAGTGCTGGGATTAAAGGTATGGGCCACTAACACCCAGCCACTTTTCTTATATTATCCCACCTACCTTTTGCCTCTGGGATTTCCCTGTTTTCTTACTTCTGTAGAGGTTCCCATTACTCCATGGCTTGCTGTATAGCTGAGTAACTGAGTGGCTGGGTGGCTGAGTGGCTGAGTGGCTGGGTGGCCGGGTGGCCGGGTGGCTGAGTGGCCGTGGCCGGGTGGCCCGGTGTCTGGGTGGCTGTGTGGCTGGGTAGCTGTGGCTGGGTGGCTGAGTGGCTGGGTGGCCGGGTATCTGTGTGGCTGGGTGTCTGGGTGGCTGGGTGGCCGGGTGGCTGAGTGGCTGAGTGCCTGGGTGTCTGGGTGGCTGTATGGCTGTGTGGCTGGGTGGCCGTGGCCGGGTGGCCCGGTGTCTGGGTGGCTGTGTGGCTGGGTAGCTGTGGCTGGGTGGCTGGGTGGCCGGGTGTCTGTGTGTCTGTGTGGCTGAGTGGCTGAGTGGCTGGGTGTCTGGGTGTCTGGGTGGCTGAGTGGCCATGTGGCTGGGTGGCTGAGTGGCTGGGTGTCTGGGTGGCTGGGTGTCTGGGTGGCTGAGTGGCCATGTGGCTGGGTGGCTGAGTGGCTGAGTGCCTGGGTGTCTGGGTGGCTGGGTGGCTGAGTGGCTGGGTGGCCGGGTGGCTGAGTGGCTGAGTGCCTGGGTGTCTGGGTGGCTGAGTGGCTGAGTGGCTGGGTGGCCGGGTGGCTGAGTGGCTGAGTGCCTGGGTGTCTGGGTGGCTGTATGGCTGTGTGGCTGTGTGGCTGGGTGGCCGTGGCCGGGTGGCCCGGTGTCTGGGTGGCTGTGTGGCTGGGTAGCTGTGGCTGGGTGGCTGAGTGGCTGGGTGGCTGGGTGTCTGTGTGGCTGGGTGGCTGAGTGGCTGAGTGGCTGGGTAGCTGTGGCTGGGTGGCTGGGTGGCTGGGTGTCTGGGTGGCTGGGTGTCTGGGTGGCTGAGTGGCTGGGTGTCTGGGTGGCTGAGTGGCTGGGTGTCTGGGTGGCTGGGTGTCTGGGTGGCTGAGTGGCTGGGTGTCTGGGTGGCTGAGTAGCTGGGTGTCTGGGTGGCTGAGTGGCTGGGTGTCTGGGTGGCCGGGTGTCTGGGTGGCTGGGTGTCTGGGTGGCTGAGTGGCTGGGTGTCTGGGTGGCTGAGTGGCTGGCCCCTCATGCCCTCCTCTCCTTGTTTCTCCTTTTTATCCTCTCTGCCCCCCAGCCCTGCCTATCCTCGCTCCTGCCTCCCTATTGGCCGTTCAGCTCTTTATTAGACCATCAGGTGTTTTAGACAGGCAAAGAATCCCAGCTTCACAGAGTTAAACAAACATAGCATAAACAAAAGTCACACACCTTAAAATAAAATTCTCTCACAGTTACTAAAAAAAAATGAATTGGTAAGTGCGTATCTTATTATTTTTGTCTGTCACTGTGGATCAAACACAGGGCCTTATATGCATGCTAGGCAAACACTGCACTGAGTTACATCCCCATTATAAACTAACTTTTAATCTAGTATATATCCTAGTACCATAGGGAAAGATAAAGGATACCCTAGTCATGCTTAAGTTTTATGGGAATTTTGTAAGTTTAAGGGTAGAAAGGAATCCAGAGGCCACAGAGTTTCAGGGGTCCTGGGATACACAGCTGAATGGAACTTAGTGGACAGGATGGTGGTTCAGAGTCAACACCACCGTGACTTCTCTCCTGGCTTTTAGCAGTCCATCTTCATTTGCAGATAGACCTGGTCAGTAAGATGTTTAGAAGCCTTGGAAACTTTCCCTTGACCCAGCCTGCTCTAGCTCTCCGGTGTTTTTTTTCCAAGCCCATCTTTCCAAGAGGGAGACCCCTGGTGTTTTAGCTTGTGCTTTGGAGCCCAGCAGATGGATGGACAGTACCACTCATTTTAGTGAGCACATAATGCATTACTGTGACATTAAAAGGTGTTGTGGGATTGCAGAATGACAAATTTATGTCCCTAGCTATCACTAGAGGGTTCCCCAAGCTACCAACATGTCCTATCTGACTTAAGTCATGATGGCCCCATTCCTTGTCGACAGGAGGGAAGGGTTTCTGTGAGGAATGACCGCACCTCTCCTGGCTTAAAGCGGCAGGAATTTATTATCATAAAGTATTTGAGGCCAGGAGGTCAGAATGGGTCCGGTGG